ATAACAAAACTCACATTGTACATTGAAATATAAGGAAATGTTCTCAGAACTGAACATACAGTCATGGGAATAAGAAAATCCACCCTCTATAATGTCTAAGGTTTTATGTATTACACTTATACTGTATTTACACTTATATATACACTTATTCAGGTCTCTCTAGTCCCTGAGGCTCAATGGGATAAACCTGTATAAATAAAGGTTGAATGAATGAAAATGTATCGGTCGTTGCAGGTTCCAAAATTTGATCAGCAGCACCTTACACCTGAATCCCATGAAAGTAGCAACAAAATGTTTCCATACAATTTTTACATTACGGCTTCTTTTTTTGTTTAATAAATACTGACATGGTGGAATCTGTCAAAAACAAGATTTACTGATGGATCTTGTGATGCATAGTCATTATGAGGCAACATCATCGTCATGTTTAGCACATATCTGTCCACAGAGGGTCGTGCTGCTTTGAGGTTTTCCAGTTGGTTTATTAGTTTAGTTTATTGTTTATTTGTCATGTGCAGGTCAACACAAGGTCAACAATGCAATGGAATGCTCAGGACGAGAAGAACCGTCTCAAACCGTCTGAAGGACCTGTGGCTTTATCTGTTTATTTTAATATATGTATATATGTATATACAGTATATATATATATATACACATTTTGTCAAGTTATACATACAAACAGGTCCTGTCCTCTGAAGTTGTCTCATCCTTGGGACTTACTTGATATGTCCATCCATCCATTATCTTTTACCCACTTCTTCCATTTTGGGTCACGGGGGTCGCCGGTGCCCATGTCCAGCAATCACTGTGCGAGGGGCGGGGGACACCCTGGACAGGTCGCAAGTCCATCAACAGGGCCAATCTAATTATGTGTAAGCCAAATTATTTAGTGTAGTTTCAAAGTATATGACAGTTAAATACATTTTTAAATAAGGGGCAGATATTATAAGATTTTTTTATTTTTTGCATCCTTTTCATTCAATGTTTTTTTTTCTTTTTGATGAATTTCTTTTGTTTATTTTGTTTCTTTTAAATGAATGAATAAATAATAATAATAAGACATGGACACATTTGTTTGTTAAAGAACAAAATCACCACATAGGGCATGGAAATAACTTTAAAATAACATATATAAGTAGTAACAAGAAAAAGTATAAAGCATTTAATGAAAATTGTTGCTTTTGAATTTTGATTCACCAGAATTTTTTATTGGAATTTGCTTTGACAAAAATGGTACAGTACCCACAGGGGGAAAAAAAGGAAAATAATTTGACCATATGTTAAAATAATGTGTGCCCTGTAATCAGCACCACAGCAAGTGTCTCCAAGCTTGTAATTAGCTCACATGTTTAAAGGTAGTCACAGTATCAAGGTGTGTAACCAGCGCTGAACTCTGAGGAGAAACTTGAAAAGAAAATGATAAAACTATTGTTATATAAACATTTAATGTTAAAGCACGCTTTACAAACTAGTTCATATACTATTTGTCAGTTGTATTTTTGCAATGCAAGACATTTTATTAGTCAAGTCAGCTTTATTATACGTATTTCTTTTAAAACAATATTTTATTCATCAACTGAAAATCAAATGGAGGCTGAAAGTATAAAACAGAAGTGTAGCTACTTCAAAAATTCCCCTATTAGTTTCATTTTCTAACAACCATACATGTGTGTTTAATCACTTATCTATTTAGTTTAATAGCCAATTTATTACTTAAGAGTATTTTTATTTATTATTAATAACTCCATGCAAATGTAGGCTAATTAAAGCAAAAATGATAACTGAACACATCACTGCAGAAAACATTACTTTAATGGATTTATGAGGGCAAGGGGGAGAAACATTATATTAAACATGTTAACATGTTAACACATGCTTAATGTCTCAGCAAAATAAAGGCAGCAGTGGGAGTTATAAAGTTTAGTTGAACTTACCAGAAGAGGAGAAACCCGCCCTCTGTGGCTGCTTTGTTTCAGAACTTCTTCCATCCGAGGAGACGAGAGAAAAAACGAAGTTTGCGCAGAAATGTCTGACAGTTTCCGTGCGCCAAGACTGCGCGAGCCTCGGCTACATCTCCTGAAAATGACCTCCGGCTGCAGAGACGAGCCAAAGAGCAAAGAGAGAGCTGAAGGTGACAGCTGGAGTCACATCAGTGCGGACGGGTCGTTGTTGAAGGAGGAGGAAGCGGAATGTGAAGAAACAAGAGAGTGAAAGATGAGATTGTGCTGCGCCGACATCCGGAATGTCTCCACGCAGTGAAAGAGGGGGTGCTTCAGATCTGGAGAACAGCTGAGTGGGTGTAAAAGAAAAGTCCCCACCTCCCACCTTCCTGTCTTTACATGCAAACAAACAAATAAATAAATTAAGAACACAAGGCACATTGGGTTGATCTGAAATCGGCTCAGACTGCAGAACTTCAAAGAACCTTCTGCTTCTTTTAGATTTCACAGCGAGTCCTCCTCCATCTCACCCCGACTACCTGTAGCCATGTCTTTGTCTTGTTCCTGGCAGCTGCATTTATCCAGTATAACCACTGTCCCCCCTCTGGACGTGTCCAAACAGGGGCGGCCCTAGCCCGTTTGGTGTCCTGGGCGAACAACCCCTGTGCCACCCCCACCCCCAAGTCTGCACAACTCCCTCCACCCACCCCCCCCGCCGGTTACATGTCAATTAGAAAACCATGTAACATCACAGACACACTCAAAATGTCTTTGAATATTTTATTCAAGCACTTGAAATTGAAGAAAAATAAATCCATCCATCATCTTTACCTCCTTTCTTTCTTTTCAGGTCATGGAGGTCACTGGTGCCCATATCCAGCAGTTACTGTGAGAGGCGGGGGACATCCTGGACATGTCTCCAGTCCATCACAGGGACACAAAAAGACAAACTCTCTCACCTAGAGATAATTTAGTTATCAACCAGCCTAACATGCATGTTTTTGGTGTTGGAGAAAACCAGAATACCCAGAGAAAACCCATGCATGCACAGAGAGAACATGCAAACTCCACCCAGACAGGTCCATGGTCAGGATTTGATCTGACGACCTTCTTGCTGAGAGGCAGCAGCTCTACCAACTGAGCTACTGTGCCTCAGAAGAAAATAAATACAATAAAAATTAGGCATTTCTAAATTACAACATTGGTCAGTCAGGTCATCTGGACAGTTTTTTTTTTAAAAGAGAGACTTTTCGCCCTCCATCCGAAGAGCTTCATCAGTCTGAGGACTCACTAAGCAGTACACTCCTACAGTGGACCAACCAGTTTGCTGGTGATTAGATGGTTTCTGGTGGGCTGTCCTCTCCCCCGTCGACTCCTCCCAGGCAGGCACAGCCACAGAGGTTCATGCTCAATCATCCAGGTAAAACATCCAACAATGATCAGTCAGGTCATCTGGACAGTTTCTTTTCGTTGTTGTTGAGAGTTTCTAAATTGCACCAATAGACAAAAACTTTAGAAAATCTGTAATACAATTGTGCTTTGATCAAGACACAGAATGTACCTGCGTACTCCTTCCTCCACTTTAGGTCCCTCTATGTTCCTCCCTCTTTTGGAAACAATTGTTGACAACAGCCATTTCCATTCTCTTGGAAAGATCCACCACCATCTGTCCTTCCTGGTTTCTTTTTTCCTCTGATCACCACTCTCTCCTCCCTGGGAATTCTCTCTATCACTTCACCCAGATCCTTTCAAAATGTATTTTTCTCCTCTACATCACATCCAACCTGTGGAGCATAATCACTGACAACAATGAACATCAGACTTTCTACTTCTACCTTCAGGCACATCACTCTTTCTGACACTCTCTTCACCTCTACATTCTTTGCCAACTCTTTCTTCAGAACCACCCCTACTCCATTTCTCTTTCTATCCACACCAAAACAGTTTAAACCATTTCTGCAAGCCTTGCTGCCCTTCTACTTCATTTCTTGGACACATAAAACATCTACCTTCCTTCTCTGCATCATGTCAGTCAGCTCTCTACCTTTGCCTGTCGTTGTCCCCACAGTTAGAGTTGCCACCCTCAGTCCTGCATTCTTGACTTTCCTCTTCCTCCGTCTCCTTCCCTGACACATTTCCCTCCTCGCAGGCTTTGACTAACAGTAGCACAATTTACACCTATACCCTGTTTGTGAACAGCACTGGTGGCAGTCGTTGTTAACCTGGACCTCAACCGATCAGGTATCGTGTTGCTTAAATGAAATTGCATGTTAGTTTTGGCAAAAGTGTTGTATGTCAGGTGCCATTCTTGACACAACCTTCCCCATTTACCCAGGCTTAGGACCAGCACAAGAGATACACTAACACAGGGCTATGCAATTAAATTGCTCAGGGGGCCACAGTTACTGAAAGCCAAGAGCTCAGGGGCCGGACATCCAGCAGTTATTGCCATTAAGTAAGTTTGTTTAATGGTTTAAAATCTAGTTTAATTTAAAATGAACCCACTGGTGGGCCGAACTGAGTTCATCCGTGTGCCTGATTTGGGCCCCGAGCCGCCAGTTGAATAGCCCTGCACTAGCATGTTCTTCCTAGTGGCTGGTTTCAGAACGTCAAAGAACCAGCATGGGTAAAGTCTAAACTAGGAGGGAGATTAATTTAGGAGAGAGATTAAACACACAAATGATTAATTATATAATACTGAGTAGTGTTAGAAAATATCAGCTCTTTTGGCACATCATAACAGAAAGAACTGACATCATTTCTACAAACTTAAAGAAAATAGTTCTGGGCTGTTTTACAAAAAAAAAAGAACCACCTTTTTATTTGAGCAAAAAGTAAAAAGTAAGACACAAGGCAAAAAAATAAGTTGAAAACTTTAATACAGTGTGTTTGAAACAAAATGTTAAGGTCTATACTGGCATGTAACGATGTAAATAAACATGCAGAAAAAGAATAAAAATTAGTTTGTTAAAATGTGTTTTTATCTTACTAAGGCAGGTTTGCTTTGTATCTTTGGAATTTAAATTCTCTTATCAGCTCTCGGTCTGTGCAGTCGCTCCCTCAGGTTTGAATTTGAAGGTCCTGCTGGATCTTCTCCGTGGCCTCGACCATGAGCGGGCACGCTTTCTTGTGTTTAGGCCAGTGCTTCACCTGACACTGTCTGAAAGAAAAGTACGAGGCAGTAAACACTCCCTGTTTACACCAGCAGAGAAATCACTATTGAGATCTTCATTCCATGTCTCGTTCCAGAAACGAGCCCATTAATTATTTACATCTAATGGAGTTGGTTAATTTTTTTTGTTTGTTTTTAATTTGAGCGTGTAAAGGACCACATAGGCTGAATCTCTGCTTGTGCAAACACTTTGCTTCGTCTTTACATCCTCACCCAGAACTGCAGGACCCTACCTGTGACAGTACCACTCTCTTTGGCATTGAGAGCACCTTTTTGAAGCCTCTTTCCCACAGGATCCACACTTTGGTTTCTCAGGGAGTAAACTTTCCATCACGTCCAAGTTGTAAGTCTGAGCCAGCCTAGTTAAATTAAACATTTGAGTTCTTCCTCTGTACCTGCACCCACCACAGAGATCTGTGCATTCACCATTACCTCTGAGCCTGGTGTCTCAAATCACTGTCAGATGGGCTGAAGGTTTCTTTCACTTGATACTTGGCTATTGCTTTCCACTTCCCAGAATTCTCTTGGACAATATTGTTCCACATTTCAGGGATCTGGGCATTAGAAGAAACCTGTGGGTGAGTGCACAGGAGCAGAGATACAAGTACGTGTTCGTAAAAGTGACAGTACCTGTTCTAAAATTAGCTCTTTTTTTGGAAGGGCCGGGTCTGTGACAGCAAGATGGGCCAGGAACCGCTGGAGTTCAATCAGGTTCGGTAGCTGATCGATCAGCACATCTGTCATGAAAGCCCTGAGCTGTGGAAAATGTTACAACGATCAGAATACCACGAGCTACAGAGGCTGCAGGATGCTCAAGGAAGAGGACGAGAGGCTCATAATTGGAGGAAACACGTTAAAAACATCCACTGGAAACTGAATCTGTGCTCCAACAGGGAAGGATGTCGGATAGGATGTAAGAAGCAAACAAACAGCCACTTAAACATTTCCTAAACTTTCATAAGAGTTAACCGAGTTCAGGCGTCGGTTAAATAAAGCAACACACAAAGAGCCTGACACGTGGCTCTACTGTTAAAAACTCACACACAGCTTCAAGACGTCAGCACATATTTAATTAACCGTTTACCTTCAGAAGCTGATTCTTGTTGAAATTGTTGAAGTCGTATTTTCTTTGGCAATCTTCCTTAAGCAGCAAATTGTAAAGAGTCAGCCAGACCTGCCCGTCTAGTTTAGTCATCTTTAGATGGTCCTCAGCTGGAACCTTCTGCCATTCACCATTAACGTGCTTTTGTAGTTCACCTACAGACAAGTTTAGCAGTAGCATTTTAAAATCCAAACAAAATACAACAAGGAGCTAAAGCAGAAAGCCAAGTGGTATTTGTGATATTTTTATTCCTACTTGGAGTAGAAGTAGTGAAGTATACCTTTCTGGCAGCGACTCCAAGGGCAGGAGTCAATGAGCTGAACCAGAACACAGGGCATGTTGTGTGTGCACAGCATTCGGTTGATCACACTGATACTGTGAGGGGGAAGGAGACGTTTGTTTTCTGCACTTCTCACCAGCAAGAAGCCATAGCAATGTTGAACTTTTGTTTCTTAAAGTGGGACATTACCCAAGTCCCTGCATTTCTACATTGTGTACCTGTCAGTGTGATCTGTGATGTAGCGCAGCACCGATACAGCTTTCAGGGAGATTTCAAACTCCACCGCAATATTCTGCATCTGTAATTCCTTCACCAAGGCGAACAAACACCGTGACTGAAATATAGATTGAACACGGGTCCAAACTAAGTGAGAAGTGTTATTACCTCTATGGAGGATGTTTGGTTGTGCTGGTTTTGAGTATGGGCGCCTGGCCTGGTTGCTCCACTGGCCAGCAGGGTGAGTTTACGGTGGCAGTAATCCACCAAGTCATGAAGAGAATCATCAGCTGCGTCACATGAATCCTGCACAACCAAACACACAAAACATACTTAATAAAGTTTAGACACTGACCTGCTGAATCAACCCTGCTAATGATAAATAGAGCTATTTAAGCATTGACTGACCTTATGAAACAGTATTGTTTCAAGTAGGTTTATGACTGTTGCCTCATGATGGATCTAAGAAAAAGAGGCAAATATTTGACAAACTCCAAGCTGACCATCTTCATGTCATACCATCTTACACTCCTCACCACCATGTAAAGATGAAACGTGGTCTTGGGATTGAAGTCCTGAAGCTGACACAGGATGGGAAACACTTTCTGCTTCCACACCTCCACAAGGATCATCTCATGGACCAGGACAGGTATCTGCAAACAGGATTATGTTACTGATCTCACAGAAAATAGACATTTTTACATTGTGTATTTGTGTCATGGTGGCACTCACTTTTCCAAGCGATACCAGGAGCTCTTTGACAAACTCCTCATGCACTGCCGAAGCATTCAGTATTGCCTGCATGTTCAGCTTCTCAATATACTCATGTTGTCGGAACCATCTGTTAGAGCACAAAGAGGTGAATTGTGAAAACGTACACTTTATACGTGGTTACATTTTAAACCATTCTGGGCTTTTATTTTGTCTGCAACAGGTTTATTTCTTGTCCTTAGGGTCAATTGTGATAATGAGGAAGTATTAAACATTTGGCTTTCAAAGAGACTGTAGTGTGAGAACATTATTGCACATACAAATGTATCTCTCTTTTAATAAGCATTTGTCATTATTTTTACAGCTTTAGTGTGGAAGTTGTTCCTCAGCCTGGTTGTTCAATTATTTGCATGATTACGGTATATAAAAATATTTATGACTGTTGGGCATGTTAAAAGACATTCAAACAAAATAGTGCTTTTGCACAGTCATTTATTAAAGATTACACAACTCTTTAAGGTAACATGATGACTGACAGGTTATAAATAAAGGGCGGCTGTGGCTGAGTGGTTAGAGCAGTCGTCCTCCAGTGCAAGAGTTGGGGGTTAGATTCCACCAGCAGTCACATGCCGAAGTGTCTCTGGGCAAAACATTGAACCCCTCATTGCCTCCGATGTGTGTCCCATCAGTGTGAATGTGATAAATTCATTCAACCTTTATTTAGACAGGTAAATCCCATATAACAAGTTATAACAAGTCATACTTCTTTTTTTTTTTTTAACAAATAGGATGGCTAAAAAAAAAAAAGAAAAGTAACAAAAAACAGCTAGATTCTAAGGCAAATGTAGAAAACTCAAAACAGGAACATGTCTGCATTGGTCCCTGCCAGGAGTCCAACAGATTCTTAAAGCCACTTAGAGAGGTCAAGGTCAAGAGGTTCAAATCTTTTTGTAAGATATTCCAGGAAACAGGAGCGGAGTAGGAGAAGGCCCTTTTGCCTAGTTCAGTCCTCACTGAGGGAACACTGCAGGTAATAATGTCCTGAGAGCGCACTCCATAGCTGCACTCACGCAGAAACATGTAGGAGGAGATGTATGAAGGCAGCAGACCAAGAAGTGATTTAAAGATGAAAATGTACCAGTGAGAAAGTCTGCATGAAGTTAATGATGTCCAGTTAACCAGTGAATACAGGGTGCAGTGGTGGGTACGATAATCACAGCCAGTTATGAATCTTAGTGCACCATGATAGACAGCATCCAACATCTGCAGGGTTCTTGTAGGAGCGTTCATGTAAATAATGTGACCGTAATAAATGGAGGGAAGGAAAGTCACAGATACAAGGTGTTTTCTAGCATTCAGGGTTAGACAGGATCTGTTTCTGAAAAAGAAACACAGTTTAACTTTCAGTTTCTTTACCAAGTTTTCCACATGGAGCTTAAAAGAGATGCAAGTCGACCAAGATACCCAAATATTTACAGGAATCAACAAACTCAATGGGGACACCATTTGAGGATAAAATCTGAGGAAGAACTGCTGGGACCAACTTCCTATTTGAAAAAAGCATCCCTTTGGTTTTGTCAGCATTTAGGACAAGTTTGAGGCGGAACAAATCTGTCTGGATGTTGTTGAATGCAGATTTCAAAAGCTGGAAAGCCTTAGCAACAGTTTTAGCTCGACAATAAACAACTGTGTCATCAGCATAGAAATGTATGGATGCGTCAGGGATGTTTTTACCTACATTACGCATGTAGATTGTAAAGAGGGTGAGTCCTAAGACTGAGCCTTGTGGTACACCATTGTTGACTGTTAAATAACTGGAGGAAGTACCATTATGTTGAACACATTGTCTCCAGTCTGAGAGGTAGTTAGAGAACCAACCAATGGTGTGATCTGAGAAACCGATTTCTGAGAGTTTATGACACAAGATGTTATGATCCACAGTGTCAAAAGCTTTAGACAGGTCTAAGAAAAGTGCAGCACAATAATCCTTAGCATCCAGTGCTTCAACAATGTCATTAAGAACCTTCAGTGATTTGAGAGTTTATCAGTTTTTCTAGAACCTTGGCTAAAATGCAGAGTTTAGAGATTGGTCGATAGTTGTTCAGTGAGGTGGGGTCACCTCCCTTCAGCAAAGGAAGAACAAAGGCTGTTTTCCAAGTGTCTGGGATGGAGTTTTGTCTTATGGAGAGATTGTAGATGTGGGTCACAGGGACTGTGATGATATGAGCAGCCAGCCTTAAGAAATAAGGTGGAAGTTCATCTGGACCTGCAGATTTTTTAGGATCAAGATCTTTTAACAGTTTATTGACCTCACTGACTGAGAATGGAGAAAAAGAGAAGGTGTGATTAACTGAGGATTGACTTGTAGGAGGGATTTGATTTGTAGAAGTTTGATTATGAAGTGAAGTGGCTGATCTTCTGTTAGTAACTGTGTCAAATAAAGAACTAGAAGCAACAAAATATTTGTTGAAACAGTTCAGGATCTCGTGCTTATTTTGGGGGCTGCCTGAGAGAGATTTGATGGTTTTCCAGAATCTGTTTGGGTCATTTAGATTTTTGGAGGTCTGAGATAAGAAATAGTAAAGCATTAATAAAGCATTGGTTATTCTCTGTATAGATAGAGTGTTGTATGAGGACACAGATTTTAGTGTAAAGAGCTTTGAGTATCTTGATAAGATAGAAAGGTGTAAGTACAGTCCATTTACCATAATTTTAGTCCAACTAATCTAAACATGTTTGCTTAGCAGGACAACATTCCTAGATATCATACTAAAAATCAGATTTAGCGATAAACCATCAACAGACTGACATCTATTTTGTTTTCAGTCCGTTTACAGACCAGCAAAGAAAACTGAAGGTGGGGTTGCACTGATTGCTTCAGAGTCCATTATAATGGATGTAAACACAGTTTGTTCAACTCTTTATTCACCAAATGCCTTGTTAAACAGTCAATGAAGGTTTTCTTGGGGGAAAAAATTGCTTTCTTTCTCATGGTTTCAATCATAGACATATATACAGTTTCTTTGCAGCTACTGAGTTTCATAGTTATTTTATTATCATGCTAATCTTAATGCTAACTTTAGTTTACCTCGCAGAGCCCACCTCCCGGAGGGCAAATGTTTCCAGACTTTGAATGAACCCTTCAGCTTCGACAGGCAGAATAACAGACGTGTCCATTTTGATACACAAGCTCACTCTAGACGAGTTTAAAAATTCCCCAACAATCCGGTGAACTCATACGGCAGGAACCAGCCTTAGCAGTGCATGTTTCTGTGGTTGCCATGGTAACTGTTGACTGATCTCCGAGCAGTTTGTTACATCGCCACAAGGGGGCAACAAATATCCATGTAGAACTTTTGATCAGCCGAGAGTTGTGATTGGCTGCCTGTCCGTTGCTGGGCAACAACGACTAGAGCAGATTCATTTGACCTTAACACCGAATGTTACGTCAAGCAAAAGTATTTTATTACTACTAATGTAAGGATTATGAAAGCTTTATCATCCACTTTAATAAAAAATACATAATTTATTGTAATAACAGAACCGTCATTAGTCCTGGGCCCCAAACTTTTTTATAATTTATGTAAATGATCTATGTACTGTACCTGAAATAATGAAAAGTATACTATTTGCTGATGACACAAATATTTTTTGTGTTGGAGATGACATGGAACAACTGTTAAAGGATATAACTAATGAATTGAATAGACTTAAAATGTGTTTTGATGAAAATAAGCTGTCCTTGAACTTAAACAAAACAAAAATAATGTTATTTGGGAACTGTCAATCACACACAGAAATCCAAATACAAATAGATGGAGTGAAAATTGAAAGAGTTCATGAAAACAAATTTCTTGGTGTCATTATTGATGATAAACTCAACTGGAAACCACACAAATATGTTCAAAGTAAAGTCTCAAGAAATATAGCCCTCTTAAACAAAGCCAAGTCTGTCAAAGAAAAAGCATTACATGTACTCTACTGTTCACTAATCTTATTTAAGTTATTGTGCACAAATCTGGGACAATAATTACAAAACTACACTACAGGCATTAACAATACTACAAAAAAGAGCAATAAGAATAATCCATAAGGTGGGATATTTAGAAAGCACTAATACACTATTTGTAAAATCTAAATTATTAAAGTTCATTGACATAATGAAACTACAGACAGCTCTAATTCTTTACAAAGCAAAAAATAAACAAATACCAGAAAACATTCAAAACCTGTTTAAAATTAAAGAGCAAATTTATACGTTAAGGGGGGAATCACAGTTCAAAATATGCAAAATCAGAACTACTAGAAAAAACTTTTGTGCATCAGTAAGTGGAGTCAAACTGTGGAATATTTTGAATATTGAACTTAAACAATATCCAAACATAAAACCGTTCAAATTATCATATAAACATATGATTTTTGCTGGATATAATATATATATATATTATTATTCAATTATTGTTGTTTTTTGTTATTTTTTGTTATTGATACTTTTGTTTTTTGTGAAGTTAAAGGAATAATAATTGTTCATCTGCTATAGTTAACTTAGACACTATATTGATGGATAAATATGGGTTTAGTTGTTATACTGTATGTATGAATCATACATGTAATGAATGTAAGATTATGTAAGTGGTTAATGAGTGGGAATTTTGATAAGTTTATGCTTCTACCCACTCCCTTGAATATGTAAAACAAAAAGTTTTGACATTATGCTTCATGCTATATTGTTTTTTACATATTCAAAAAATAATAAACTGAACTAAAATTAGTTTGTTCCATTGATCTATCTGTAGGTCAATAAATAGTAACCTCCTAGGACCTGGCATCCACTTATGCAAGAGTTCAGGTCTTAGGAGGTTAATATTAAGCACATAAAATAGTTGTCGAAATACTGTGGTGAAGAATATATTAAATACTTTTCTGATTTGTATACTGATATGTGAATTAAAACTAATCCCCTGTACAGTACTGTAAAGTACAACTAATCTTTCCTTCATTTCTTCAGTCCATGCTATTTTTTTTTATTTAGCCAGTCTGATAGGATCCAACTTTCTGCAGCTGGTTTCTAAAAATGCATTTTTTTTTTACTGCAAAATTAATTTTAAAATAGTAAAGTTTGGTAATCTATTAAATTCATCTATTAAATTTGTACTAGTTTCAAAATGTCTGGATGTTGGAGATTGTGTCACATAAACTGATGCCAGTATTAAGATAAATATCCAGCAAAGATTTTCAGATGATTTGTTGAAGGTCTGCAGCACTGACTCCCATCTGTGTTGTTTCTGTAGATAAGCATGAGCAGGTTTTTGGTTCATTTTTAAAGCCAAAAAAAAAAAAAAAAGTTAAAATGAGCAAGAAATCTTAAAAACACGATATTATTTTTGTTCTTTTTAATAATACTCTGCTTATAAATACATGAAAATGCAGTTTAGATGTTAAATTACACCAGCTCTCTTTCATAAGTTGATCAAAACAAAAAATGATAGTAGCTTTTGATTACAAAGAAATTGCATTAAAAATTAAGCTTGTACAAAATACAAAACATCTTTTTGTCACTGCTGTTTAAAGAAGTCTCTCCTGTTCAAGGCACCTTTGGTTGAGGCATCTCTGCATCGCTCAGGAACGTTTTATTTGCCATCACTTCCAGCATATAACAATATTGGGGTCATTTTCCAAACGCTCATCCAGCTCCTGGTAACTAATACCTGCAAAATAGGTAAATACAACATACCTTTACATTTTACAACAGCATTTAGTTAAATACATTGAACTCTGCTTTTCCATCACACTGTATGGTACAACTAAAGGCAGTGCAGACCTTATGTTACAGGCATGGATGAGAACTGCTCTTTCTACAACTTCAGTGAGTGTTTATTAAATTACATAGAGTCTGCAGATGTTTCACCTCCAGTTTTCTGCACTATCTCCAGGAGTAAAAAGCACAAAACATTCTCACCTGAGCTGGCCTTCCAGTTAGATACTGTACTGATTTAAAAATGTTACTTCTAACCTTTAAAGTGTTAAACGGTGTTGCCTCTAAATTCATCGCAGACTTACAGACAGTGGACATTCTGCTGAGCATTGAAACCCACAGACAGCACCCCATTAAATGCTACCTGAGGGGTGTATTGCAGGGCAAGTCCAGACAAGTTGCCAGTCAGGGCCACATAGAGACATAGAGACAACCCACTCTCAAGGGCCAACGTACTTCAACCGAAGTGCTGAAATCATCTCTCAGTGTCGTAGTTGTGCAACGAAAATTGCGTCATTTTGTTCGCAGAGCAGCTTTGACTGCCGCTTCTCGACACAAGGCCCCGAGTTGAACTTTTTCTCACAGGTGTATGCACCAAGTACAGTGTGATTGGTCAGAAGTTTGTGGGCGTTTGTCAATGAGGAAATGCGCTCGGACATTCAGCTGCACGACTAAACGAACACACTAAATTAGTCGAATGGCCAAAACATCCTGGATGGAGATCGTGCAGACATTGTGCATGGAGGAGTCTGTCTGCTGATAAGTGTGGCGCTTTCTTCAGGATAGATTTGTGGCCAAACGTATGATTCAGGGACGAGTGGAGACTCTGGCGGGAAGAAACCCCAGCTGTGATGCAACAAGAGGGTTTTCCCAGGAGCTCTGCGCCTGTGTCTCATGGACTATGAAAGGTGTGTGCGAAAAAAACGTCCCACAACCACGTGAACATGAGTCGACTGTTTGGCTTCGGATGGAGTGTCGGGCCCTTCTCTCACACTTAGCAACAATTTGGAGTTACCAATTAACCTTCCATGCATGTTTTGGTATGAAGAATGTGTCGCACCTTTATAATGAGTTCAGAAAACAATGAATTCTTTTGGTGTTCGTGCAGTTGCAGAGAAAATGATGTTCCTACTGCAGAATGTAATGTTTCCTCATTACTGGATGGATCCAGTTTGGCTCAGAAGAGCTGATGTGCACCATTACAAAGAATCCTTATCTGACACTACAACAGTGGAATACAGCTATAGTGAACAAGAGTCTTTTGAGACTTGCCCGTTTTGCAGCAGATCTCATCATAACTATGACTGCCGGTGTACAGTCGAGGCAGCCTGCTTCTCTCGTCACGGACCACCTTAACGGGATACTTCTGCAGCCGTCGAATCAGAGATCTCACCAGTCCAAACTGGATCAGCCTCCTGGACAAAAAACACACAACATGACCTAATTTTAGGCGCTCTAAAGCTGACATTCCAGGAGCAGAAGTCATTTCAGGACCAAATACGGCGAGCGGCACCGACCTCTCATCGACCCGCTGAAGCTGCTGCGAGTAGCGGGAGAAAAGATCTCGCACTGTGGTTCCTGGACTCAGACCACAGTAGAGCTGGAACACGTCTCTAAGGCTGGCACGTTTCTGACCTGACAGTGACCAGAAGACAAACGTCCATCACTAATTAAAGCAACACTTCATGGCTAATCCAGACACTTTCTTACCCTGCTTAGTGACGTAGCTGAGGCATTCCTCCTGGATGGACTTGTCGTCAATAAGACTCTGAACTCTGGGAGTTGTGCAGTACACATTAGAGTACTAGAAGGAGTGATGAGAAAACTATCAGAATACATCAACCCTCAAGTAGTTAACTAAAAATGAAGTACAGGTCCTTCTCAAAAAATTAGCACATTGTGATAAAGGTCATTATGTTCCATAATGTAATGATAAAAATGAAACTTTCATATATTTCAGATTCATTGCACACCAACTGAAATATTTCAGGTCTTTAATTGTTTTAATACTGATGATTATGGCATACAGCTCATGAAAACCCAAAATGCCTGTCCCAAAAAATTATCATATCATGAAAAGTTTCTCTAAACAAGCTATTAACCTAACCATCTGAATCAACTACGCAACTCTAAACACCTGCAAAAGATTCCTGAGGCTTTTAAAACTCCCAGCCTTGTTCATTACTCAAAACCACAATCATGGGTAAGACTGCCGACCTGACTGCTGTCCAGAAGGCCATCATTGACACCATCAAGCAAGAGGGTAAGACACAGAAAGAAATTGCTGAACGAATAGGCTGTTCCCAGAGTGCTGTATCAAGGCACCTCAGTGGGAAGTCTGTGGGAAGGGAAAAGTGTGGCAGAAAACGCTGCACAACGAGAAGAGGTGACCGGACCCTGAGGAGGATTGTGGAGAAGGGCCGATTCCAGACCTTGGGGGACCTGCGGAAGCAGTGGACTGAGTCTGGAGAAGAAACATCCAGAGCCACCGTGCACAGGCGTGTGCAGGAAATGGGCTACAGGTGCCCCATTCCCCAGGTCAAGCCACTTTTGAACCAGAAACAGCGGCAGAAGCGCCTGACCTGGGCTACAGAGAAGCAGCACTGGACTGTTGCTCAGTGGTCCAAAGTACTTTTTTCGGATGAAAGCAAATTTTGCATGTCATTCGGAAATCAAGGTGCCAGAGTCTGGAGGAAGACTGGGGAGAAGGAAATGCCAGAAGTCCAGTGTGAAGCACCCACAGTCAGTGATGGTCTGGGGTGCCATGTCAGCTGCTGGTGTTGGTCCACTGTGTTTTATCAAGGGCAGGGTCAATGCAGCTAGCTATCAGGAGATTTTGGAGCACTTCATGCTTCCATCTGCTGAAAAGCTTTATGGAGATGAAGATTTCATTTTTCAGCACGACCTGGCACCTGCTCACAGTGCCAAAACCACTGGTAAATGGTTTACTGACCATGGTATTACTGTGCTCAATTGGCCTGCCAACTCTCCTGACCTGAACCCCATAGAGAACCTGTGGGATATTGTGAAGAGAAAGTTGAGAGACGCAAGCCCCAACACTCTGGATGAGCTTAAGGCCGCTATCGAAGCATCCTGGGCCTCCATAACACCTCAGCAGTGCCACAGGCTGATTGCCTCCATGCCACGCCGCATTGAAGCAGTCATTCATGCAAAAGGATTCCCGACCAAGTATTGAGTGCATAACTGAACATGATTCTTTGAAGGTTGGTGTTTTTTGTTTTAAAAACACTTGTCTTTCATTGGTGGGATGAAATATGCTAATTTTTTGGGACAGGCATTTTGGGTTTTCATGAGCTGTATGCCATAATCATCAGTATTAAAACAATTAAAGACCTGAAATATTTCAGTTGGTGTGCAATGAATCTGAAATATATGAAAGTTTCATTTTTATCATTACATTATGGAAAATAATGACCTTTATCACAATATGCTAATTTTTTGAGAAGGACCTGTAATATCAGAGGAAATTTTAATAATGTGATAATACAGGTGCTGGTCATAAAATTAGAATATCGTGGAAAAACTTGATTTATTTCAGTAATTCATTCAAAATGTGAAACTTGTTCATTATATTCATTCATTACACACAGACTGATATATTTCAAATGTTTATTTCTTTTAATGTTGATGATTATAACAGACAACTAATGAAAACCCCAAATTCAGTATCTCAGAAAATTAGAATATTACTTAAGACCAATAAAAAAAGGATTTTTAGAAATGTTGGTCAACTGAAAAGTATGAACATGAAAAGTATGAATATGTACAGCACTCAGTACTTAGTTGGGGCTCCTTTTGCCTGGATTACTGCAGCAATGCAGCATGGCATGGAGTCGATCAGTCTGTGGTACTGCTCAGGTGTTATGAGAGCCCAGGTTGCTCTGAGTGGCCTTCAGCTCTTCTGAATTGTTGGGTCTGGTGTATCACATCTTCCTCTTCACATTACCCCATAGATTTTTTATGGGGTTAACGTCGGGTGAATTTGCTGGCCAATTAAGAACAAGGATACCATGGTCCTTAAACCAGATACTGGTAGCTTTGGCACTGTGTGCAGGTGTGAAGACCTGTTGGAAAATGAAATCTGCATCTCCATAAAGTTGGTCAGCAGCAGGAAGCATGAAGTGCTCTACAACTTCCTGGTAGATGGCTGCGTTGGTCTTGGACCTCAGAAAACACTGTGGACCAACACCAGCAGATGACATGGCACCCCAAGCCATCAATGACTGTGGAAACTTGACACTGGACCTCAAGCAACGTGGATTCTGTGCCTCTCCTCTCTTCCTCCAGACTCTAGGACCTTGATTTCCAAAGGAAATGCAAAATTTACTTTCATCAGAGAACATAACTTTAGACCACTCAGCAGCAGTCCCGTCCTTTTTGTCTTTAGCCCAAGTGAGACGCTTCCGACGCTGTGTCTTGTTCAAGAGTGGCTTGACACAAGGAATGTGACAGATGAACCCCTTGTCTTGCATACGTCTGTGTGTGGTGGTTCTTGATGCATTGACTCCAGCTGCAGTCCACTCTGTGAATCTCCCCCATGTTTTGGAATGGGTTTTGTTTCACAATCCTCTCCAGGGTGCAGTTATCCCTATTGCTTGTACACTTTTTTTCTACCACATCTTTTCCTTCCCTTCGCCTCTCTATTAATGTGCTTGGACACAGAGCTCTGTGAACAGCCAGCCTCTTTAGCAATGACCTTTTGTGTCTTGCCGTCCTTGTGCAAGGTGTCAGTGGTCGTCTTTTGGACAACAGTCAAGTCAGCAGTCTTCCCCATGTTTGTGTAGCCTACAGAACTAGACTGAGAGACCATTTATGATGAGAATCTATCCTTTAAGTCTCATATTGACAAAATGGTTTCTAAACAAAAATTTTAATTGTTTTTTTGTAGAAATAAAGTGTTTCTCTCACCAAGTCAGAAGGCACCTGATTGTTTCAACCATTCTGCCCCTGGTAGATTATGGAGATCTGCTATTTATGAACTCTTCAGACAAACTTTTGAAAAAAATGGATGCTGTATATCATTGTGTCCTGCCTTTTATGACTGACTGTGGCTATTGAACACATCATTGCACTTTGTATGCTACAGCAAAATGTCCCTCTTTGACTGACCACAGACTTTCTCACTTGCTGGTTTTTATCTATAAATGCATACTTGGGCATCTTCCTACATATTTATTTTCACTTTAATCTAGAAATTTCAACCATTATAGTCTGCACTCTCGGGACATCATTTTGATGCAGGTCCCAAAGGTCAGAACTGAACTGGGTAAAAAGGCTTTTAAATATTTCGCCCCTGCCACTTGGAATATTCTGCAGAAGGATTTAAAGTTATCATCTCGTTATGTTGGGACAATATAAATCAATTCTAAAGGAACGAGATCAGATCATTTGGCTCCTGAAACTGCTCGAACGTGTAATTGTGTGATTTTTCTTGGGTACGTAACTTGTGTATTTGGTTTAGTATTATGGATTTGTTGTATGTTGTGCTGTCTTGGTCAGGTTACTCCTGGTAAAGAGGTTTTTAATCTAAATGAGTTATTTTTCCTGGTTAACTAAAGGATGCATACATACATTTAAAGACCTTTGCAAGTGTTTTGAGTTAATTAGCTGATTAGTGTGTGGCACCAGGTCTCTTCAATATTGAACCTTTTCACAATGTTCTAATTTTCTGAGATACTGAATTTGGGGTTTTCATTAGTTGTTGGTTAGATGAAATAAACATTTGAAATTTATCAGACGATGTGTAATGAATGAACATAATATACAAATACATATATAATTGTATTTTGCTTTGTGTGTTACCTATTGTTTTGTCTGTACAGCACTTTGGTTGGCCTTGTTGCTGTTTTAAGTGCTTTATAAATAAAGTGGTATGGTATGGTAATATACAAGTTTCACGTTTTGAATGGAATTACTGAAGTAAATCAACTTTTTCATGATATTCTAATTTTATGACCAGCACCTGTACATATATACTGGTACATCCTTATACTCAGGGCAGTTTCACCACTCAGTGCAATGGAAGAGAGTTGCATGAATTGTGCCATGAGAATTGATTCTGGTACCTGGAATATTGACAGCAAAGTCACAACCCCATAATACCTGTGAGGGAGAAAGTGGATTTACAATATTAATTACGGTTTCTCTTGTAAGAGTCTAGTCTGAAGCAACTAAATGTCATTTGTTGCTTTTTGAAGCTCTGATGTTTCAGATCTTTAAAGGTATAGCACAGTGTTGCTAATTTTGTCACAAACTTGGATGTGTGTAAGGTTTTATTTAATAAGAAAGTACTTGCAGGAGATTTTGCACAGCGATCCGAACAAGATTCAGCTCCACGTCTGCTTCGGCAGAGATTTTCTGGATGTGCCTGAATCCATCAATGTACGGCAGGATCTGCAGAAGCCAGAATATAGCAGCAGGCTAACATCTGTGTTTGGATCTCAACTGCTAGGCAAATAAAAACTACAATCACTTCGTTATAAACTACAAACATGTGAAAATTGTTTTTTATTACAGCAATATCAGCCTATTGCACCAATTAAACAGCACCTTCTCCTGGAAGAGAGACTCATTTCCTCACATGAAAACATGACAATGAAACAAGTTTCATATCTCGTCTGAAAAAGCGATAAGCTTTTATTCGCTAATCTTAATAGAATTGCTTCTTGGAATTTAGGCACGTCTTATCCTTGTTGACATCAAAAGCCACTTATTGTTGTTCTTGCCTGTTGAGTAGTGAGATCCCACTGAGATTTGATGTAAACGTCTTTGCACTCGGTAAAAACAGGAACGTCATATTCCTGAACAATCGGTGGATCCTTTCTCAGCTGGATCAGCTTTAGGTGGATGGTGTTGGAATCATCTGAAAACAGAGAAAGAAAGCAGAATTGGACAGATAAAAAAAAAATGTCATTTTCACTGCTCTTGGTATGCAGCAATGTATCCTTTTGTTTGGATTTGAAGTGCTTCTAATGAACTGGGTGTTGAGAGAAAAAGGAGCTCGAGCCAGAAGCCAATAATAACCAAATATTTCTAGGAAACAATATTCTGTGAGGAGCGTGCTTGGCAAAGGGTCTTTAGAAGACTTTTCTACGTCAGAACAGGGCTTCACGAAATGTTTTATTTTCTTTACCGAGAACAGCAAGCAGTAAAACTAAATCAAAAAGATAAACTTTTCTGGATTTTTCAAGACTTTTGGAGTCTCGCACAATCTGTCAGTAAGTCATGAACTCCAAATGAATGAAAAGAGCAGAAAAACAAACAGATTAAAAGTTTAATTAAAAAAAATGTATCCATTTTTTTTCCTTATGCAATAAACAGTCAACATTTGAGAACAAAAATACATCTAAAATTATAGGAAAAACTTAATAAAAATAAAGTCAATTTTAGAACAGTGTTGGTAAATTAAAAAAGTATCGTTCTAGACTGCACTCAGCCAAGAAAAAAAACTATGAAATGTACTGAGGAAGTTAATTGAAAACGCTGTCAAATACCAGTAAATTTGGGCAGCTGGTCTTTAATAACCAAGCAGCAAATACCTGGAATACTGTAAGCTGTAATTACAGCAGACAGTGAGCACGCCCTTTTCTGCTGAAAAGCTTTACGTTCCAGGACACAGTAAAAAGTTATCTGGTCCTTATCAAGTCCTACAATAAGGCCAATTCATGCTCGGATAAACTAACACGGTGTCATTCTTCTACATCAACTAAGCCAAGGTCCAGAAGCAATGTGAGAGAACAACATAAGTCATCTAATTAACCATTAAAACCAGATTTAGGAGAAAAAATTCAAAACGATTACAAGTGCAGATCAACTGTGTGTTACATGATCCACTTTTGGTCAACATCAGCTTGATCCTTTGCTTGTAAAACATGCCCACTTTATCAATAGAGACTGTGCTGATTTGTTGTGTTGGTTTTAGGCCAAATGTCGTACTTTGCATTGTCTCATCTATTCAAAGGACGTTGTTTTAGAAGTCTTACAGCCTCTTCTGCTAACAGTTTGTTTCTTAATCCATGCTGCAATGTTTTCTCTGCAGAGAAGAGGATTTCCGAGAAACCTTTCAAACAAGTTTTTTTTATTGTCCTGTCAAGAGATTGAAAGGAGCTACGCGAGGCCCGTACCGTCTGGGATGAATCCCTTGAGCTATTTTAGTGTCTTCTTAAACACATTATTACCATTTTCTTTTTACAGTTCTTTAGAGCAATATGTTCTGTAAAGATGCTCCTACTTATTGATAATTGATTGATTGGCATCACCTGACAAGTATTTACTCTCTAAATATTAATGAAGAAAAGAAGAATGGAATTAGACTTTTCACAGTAATTTTACATTTAATTTTCCTAAATAAATACTGGCAAGCATCACTGTTTTTGCATATAAACATGCACGTTAGACTAATTGGTCTAACTAAATTGTCCCTAGATGTGAGTGAACGGTTGTCTCATTTGTCTCTGTGTCCCTGTGATGGACTTGCGACCTGTCCAGAGTACCCCAGTGCTCGCCCAGTGACCGCTGGAAATAAGACACCAGCTCCCACGACTCGAAAAGAAAAAGTGGGTAAAAGAAAATGAACTGATTACTTGTTTTCTTTTTACTAAGACTGCATCTTTCAGAGTCTGTGTTCATGTGTTTTAAGTAGATTTTTCCTCTTTAACCTTTCCCTTTATTTCTGTTTTACAAACCATGAGCCTACATGACTAAGTCTGACACACTCCGATGATAAACAAAAGTGCTTGTTTTAAGTAATATAAAATAAAATATCTATATTAATTCTTTTTTTTTGTTATCCAACCGAGACCTATACTCCAAAGTTGGTCCAACGTATCCAGGGTCCTTCTTTCTTTGAGTTATCTGACAGAGGTATCAAAATGCTGACTCATCTCTAAGGTTTTTAACTATATAAATGTGTCCATTCATGCATTGTAAGTTGATTCTCTTCACATCCATACATCTGTTTAGTCCTCCCAGCTGTGACAAGTCCACAGAATGAAATCTGACGGGATACAAAAGATGAACATTGAACTGATAACCTTGGATTCTTTAATGAGTTTAATGTGTTGATTTAATCAGATAAATGTGTTTTAATTTCTGTAAAGCAATTTGATCTTTATTAATTTCTTTATACAAGTTATATGACACCAAAAGCAATAGAGCTGAAGCTTTATGTCAACAATATTTATATTAAATAATTAATTATATTATTATTATTAATTGTATTAAAGGTGCTGCATTAGAATGGTTCCACTCATACCTGAGTGACAGGAGTTTTTGGTCAAGGTTGGTAATGTATCGGTTTCAATGACTCTTTCTTGCGGGGTCCCACAGGGCTCAATTCTTGGATGACCCCTTTTGTTTTCACTCTATTTGCTACCACTGGGGTCCATCCTGAGGAAATAGTCTTTTATCCCATTGTTATGCTGATGATTGTCAGATTTATCTGCCTTTGAAACCAGCTAGAGCCTGCTCCATTCACCCTCTCCTAAAATGTCTGGACAACATTAAGGCACGGATGGCTTCAAATTTCTTAAGTTTTAACAATCAGAAGACCAAAGTCATTAGGTTTAGGATCAGCCACCACCTCTGATCATGTGAACCTGGACTCTCTTCAGCCATATCTTAAGAAGTCTGTTAAAAATCTCGGGATGGTTTAAGACTCTGACTTCAAGTTTGACAAACAAATCAACTCTGTTCTGCAGAAAAGCTTCTTCCAAATAAGGCAGATAACTAGCTAAGCTTAAACCAGTGTTGTCCAGATCTGACTTTAAAAACTAGACCATGCCTTTATTACGATCTGACTAGACTACTGTAATGCACTCTGTGCTGGGGTAAACCAGGTCTCCATTTCACGTCTTCAGCTTGTCCAGAATGCTGCTGCTTGGCTTTTACCCAGAACTCATAGGTTTGAGCATATTACAGCAGTTCTATCCTCCCTTCAATGGATCCCAGTGCATACTAGAATAGATTTTAAAACTCTCCTGTTGACCTATAAGTGCCTAAATGGCCTCGCACCCCCTTATCTCTCTGAGCTACTGGAACCGTATGTTCCCTCTTGGGCCCTGAGATCATCTGACCAGCTGTTTTTGGCTGTTCCAAAAACAAAACTGAAGCTCAGAGTTGATCAGGCATTTTCAGTCATGGGCCCCAAACTCTGGAACAACCTGCCCCCAACATCAGGCAGGCCACCTCCCTTCCTGTGTTCAAATCTCAGCTAAAACACACCCTCACTCAGTGTGAGTTGATTTAGTATTATTTTGTTCTGTGTTCTTATGCTTTTTATTTAATGCTTTTAATTTATTTATTTTTCATAAATTTTACTCTCATTGATGTTATTGTTAAGCACTTTGGTAAAACAGCTGCTGTTTTAAATGTGATCTATAAATAAAGTTGACTTGAATTAATGTGTCAAATTATTAAGGTTATGAATGTGAAAGCCTTCACAATAATAAAAACACAGACGAGGCATGTAAAATTGTGAATTTACTTTCTTTCATTTCAGCTGTACTCGTGAAACATCTGGAAAAGTACCAGCCTGATCCTGTCAGATATGACAAAAATAAATTAATCCAAACCAGTAAGCCTCTGTTGTGTGTGTCAACATTTATTTGTTGTCATCAGACCTCTGAGGTGTTAAATAAAAAGGATTTACTTCTGGGATTTTGAAAGATGTTTTAAGACAGCTGTGACATGAGAATGAACTAGTATAATGTGCTGTAAGAGAAAATGGTGAAGGCATCTTTTCTAGTTCAGAAAAAACAATATTTATTGAAAATCTTTAAAAATCAACAAGTGTTCACTTCTGCTGAGATATTTTTTAGTAAAATCAAAGTATTTCAATTCTAAAGGCCAAAGGAGAAAAACTGTCCACATAACCACACATTGTTTTTTTTTTATTTTCAGTTAGTCATAAAATGGTATTTTAACATGTGAGGCTTCTCTCTTTTCTTAAATGCGTCTGGATAATCTGTATAAGTTGCCACTATATCCAATTCAGCTTTCTGGAAGTTAAAACCCAAAGCTGAGCTTGAGGTTACTTCACTGAGACTAATTCCACAAAGTAAAATAGAAGACAATACCTATAGGTAGCGTGCAGGCTCCTGTAGCGTTGAGATCTTCTAACAAAGTCGACATTATGAGCAAAAGTTTCTGCTTGCTCTCCTCGTTTGATATGAAGCCACTCTCCAGCTGCAACACAACAAGGCAGAAAAACACAATCAGAAATGTCACATTAAAAAGACATTAAAAGGCAAAAGCAATTCAAAAAGGCATTACACATTACCTCTAAAGTTGTGAGGTACCCAGACAGCTTCTTGACAATTGGCTCAAGAGCGCACGTGTTGGTGCTAGCATCACAAACAAAGCCGAGATTAAAGAGGAGGGCGTTTCTACTGTACTTTTTATGTTCAATGCACACAGGACAGCCGATCAACTTTTTATCCATAGCAGTCCTATAAAATATAATAAAATTAAAATGATTGTTATGTTCATGCCAAACAAAATGCACACCATTTTTGACAAAGAAGCAGAAAAGCTGAGTTGGATCACATACACTGTGATTAATTTGTTTTGTAGCTCTGGTTTGGTGATGATGTACACTTGAACAGTGTCAAATAACTCCCTTGAAATGTACTCCTCAGGTACCTGCCAAGAAAGGTCAAAAACATGTATTTACAGTATTAAAGTAGTACATAAAATTACGTTTGAATATCAAACAACCAAGAAATTACTCACAGAGGTGACAAAAATCCCTAAGAATGTGTATAATGGGTGTAATAATTCAGTTATGCTTGTTAATTCAATTGTCTAAGGACAATAGATGAACATATCTGTAAACAAACCCCCCTACTTACCTGATATGTTATTTTTGGGCCCAGAGTTGGATGAAACTCACTGAAAAATATACACTCTATCCGTGTGGCCATGCCTGTAAACTTTCTAACAGGACTTAAAACTTTGTGAATGGAATGAGCTTCACCTGAATGTTGTCAGAGGTGATACCCGAGTCTCCTCCTGTCCTCTCTGTCATAAACAGTACGAGCTAGCTAGCTAGCTTTTAGCTTTACCCATGAACCAAATGTTAGAGTCACCTATAAATAATTTTCAATAGTTGTCGCATCGCACTACGTCCTACCAATTGGGCTATTAAACTGTTTTAAAGAAGCATCATTGCGCTGAGACCAAATAATTCAACGACGCCATTCAAAGTAGGCGTCTGTACTGCTAAGGGAAAACAACGATATGCTGCATTCAGGGACTCCACGGAATTTATAAATTAATTTGTTAAGAAGATAACATCGGAGCAAACAAAAGTTGGTATAATTATGACTTTAAACAGTGTGTAAAAAGTCAAAATGAATATTTTATTTGGTTTTCTTTTAAGTTTGAGCCATAAATCTTATAGCATGGAAAAACGTTGCTGTTGTTTCATGTACTGTTAGTACAATTAGTTTAAAAGTTTTGTATTCAATTTGTCACGGGTTTTCTGTTCTATTTGGTACTATTGTGTGCACAATGATGGAAAACTTTAAATTACCCAATGTCTTTGAAGGAAGCACCAATCAGCAGAGTCAGTTCTGGGTAATCTGAGACGCATGTGGTTACGTCATCAGTACGTTTCAAAAATGGTTTTCTCTGCCCGGTGTTGAACAACGTGCTGCTGCTTTCAGAAAATATATTAATTCCTTATGCTTATTGTGTATAAGTGACATTAAAATGTATTTTTATGACTTTTTTCGGTTTATGTGTCGCGGTCATGATGAGGCAACACATTAATCTAAACTTTAAACGAATAAAGACGCATGGACCGTGTTATTTAATCATGTGGAGAAGAACACTGAGTACCAACAGCAGATGTTTGGGATGCAGGAGTGGTGGACTAAAGGTAAAGGTTTTTATTTGAAATAAAAGGTCCACACAGTGGTACATATAGTTACAGAAGGATAAATGGACAACCGTATCTTACCTGTCCCCTTACAGTATTTCTTATATTTGAATTGCAGGTACCAAAACTTGTTGCATACTGATTAATATTAAATTGATAAATGAGCAGAAAATACTTATGCCTGACTCAGGCAGCAAATGTTTATTGTGCAAACGTATTGTCATCTCTCATCTTTTTCTAAGTGTTGAGCAGTTAATTTGGACTTTGGTTTGTTTATTAGGCTACTTTACTCTGATTTAATCATTCAGACATTAAAAAAAGTCTTAGTTAATGAATAAACCAGTGTTGTGCTGACACATTCAGCTTAGCAAAAATAATAATAAAATACTGTTGTTACCAGCAACATGTTACAAAGACAATTTGTTACCATTTAATCTATCAGAACTACCAAAAATAAACGTTTGACACAAAATTGTCTATTACGAACAACATGGTGCTCACCATTTTCTAGTTAAATATGGTGTTCTCCAAGGCTATGCTTTAGGTCCTGTTATGTTCTCTATACAGTGCATTTGGAAAGTGTTGACACAGCACTTCACTTTTTCCATGTTTTGTTATGTTACAGCCTTATTCCAAATTGTATTAAATTAATCTCTTTCCTCAAAATTCTACACACAATACTCTATTATGACAATGTGAAAAAATATTTTTTGAGATTTTTGCAAATTTATTAAAAATAGAAAACTAAGAAATCACATTTATGTAAGTATTCATAGCCTTTGCTATGAAACTCAAAACTGAACTCAGATGCATACTGTGATCATCTTTGAGATGTTTCTACAAGTTAAATGGAGCCCACCTGTGGTAAATTCACTTATTGGACTTGATTATGAAAGACACACCTGTCTATATAAAGTCCCACAGTTGACGGTGCAGGTCAGAGCACAAACACCAAGCATGGAGTCAAAGGAACTGACTGTAGACCTCTGAGACAGGATTGTGTTGAGGCACAAATCTGGGGAAGGATACAGAAACATTTCTGCTGCTTTCAAGGTCCCAGTGAGCCCAGTGACTTCCATCCATCCATCCATTATCTTTACCCGCTTATTCCATTTTGGGTCACGGGTGTCGCTGGTGCCCATGTCCAGCAATCACTGTGCGAGGGGCGGGGTACACCCTGGACGGGTCGCAAGTCCATCACAGGGCCACATAGAGACAAACGAGACAAACAACCATTCACTCTCTCATTCACACCTAGGGACAATTTAGAGTTACTAATCAGCCTAACATGCATGTTCTTGGTCTGTGGGAGGAAACCGGAAGACGCGGAGAAAACCCACGCATGCACGGAGAGAACATGCAAACTCCACCCAGAAAGGCCCCTGGACTGGGGTTTGAACCAAGGACCTGCTTGCTGAGAGGCAGCAGCTCTACCAGTGACTTCCATCATTCATAAATGGAAGAAGTCTGGAACCACCAGGACTCTTCCTAGAGTCGGACAGCTATCTAGTCCCCCAGTAGTCAGGGAGGTGACCAAGAACCTGGTGGTCACTCTGTCAGAGCTCCAGTGTCCCTCTGTGGAGAGAGAACATTCCAGAAGGACAACCATCTCTGCAGCAATCCACCAATCAGGCCTGTATGGTAGAGAGGCCAGATGAAAGCCACTCCTTAATAAAAGACACATGGCAGCTCATCTTGACAAAAAGCACCTGAAGGATTCTCAGACCACGAGAAACAAAATGCTCTGATCTGATGAGACAAAGATTGAACTCTTTGGTGTAAATGACAGGCGTCATATTTGGAGGAAACCAGGCACGGCTCATCAACAGGTCGATACCATCTATACTGTGAAGCATGGTGGTGGCAGCATCATGCTATGCAGATGTTTTTCAGCAGCAGGAACTGTCAGACTAGTCATGATAGAGGGAAAGATGAATGCAGCAATGTACAGAGACATCCTGGATGGAAACCTGCTCCAGAGAGCTCTTGACCTCAGACTGTGGCAACGGTTAATTTCTCAGCAGCACAACGACCCAAAGCACATGACCAAGATCTCAGAGGGGCTTCAGGACCTCTCTGTGAAGGTCCTGGAGGGGCCAAGCCAGAATCCAGACTAGAATCAAATTGAACATCTGGAGATATCTGAAAATGGCTGCACAGACGTCTCCCATCCAACCTGATGGAGCTTGAGAAGTACTGCAAAGAAGAATGGGACAATCTGTCTAAAGACAGGTGTGCTAAGCTGAAGCATCATATTCAAAAAGACTTGAGGCTCTAATTGCTGCCAGAGGTGGATCAACAAAGTATTAAGCAAAGGCTGTGAATACTTGTGTACGTGTGAATTCTTAGTTTTCTATTTTTTAATAAATTAGCAAAAATCTCAAATATTTTTTCACATTGTCAAAATGGGGTGATTTGTGTAGAAGTTTAATGAAAGTGATAAATTTAATACAATTTGGAATAAAGCTGTAACATAACAAAATGTGGAAAAGATGAAGCACTGAATACTTTCCAGAGATGTACTGTATTGTACAGTATATGCTTTCATAAGTTTTCATTGTCGGAAAATATAACATGCACAAGATTGTTATGCTGACAACACAGAGCTTCATTTCTCAGTGAGACCAGGTGACGATCTGCTGCTCAAACACCAGGTCTTCCCTTAAAGAAATAATATTTTAACTGAATTTTACTGTAGTTTATTATTATTGTTTACTGTTACTGTGTTGTTGTGTGTACTTTATATGTTCTGTCTAGAACAGGTCTCTCTTGTAAACGAGTCCTCGTGGCTCAATGAGACTAACCTGTATAAATGAAGGTTGAGTGAATGAATGAAATAATAACCTGGATGTCCTCGTCTTTTCCCCTGTTGAACTCAAGTAAAAATGAGATCATTGTCTTTGATTCTAAAAATACTCAAGTAGATGTTGTACGCTCAAAACATTACTCTCAGTGGGGCTACTAAGACTTATTCATTAAACAACATACCAAACAAGTACCAAAAATAGCATTTTCCATCTTCATAACATTTATAAAATTACAAGCATACTTACTCAAAATGATGATCCTCTCTGTATTGGTTTCCTGTGACTAGCTGAATACAACACAGACATCTCTTTTTGACATATTAAGTCCTGAATGGCCCAGCACCAGCATAATTAAAGCAACTAATTGAGCTATCTAGAATATTTGGCTTATTTTGGTCTCTTAATTATTCCAAAAATAAAAGTAGAATCGGAGAGAAGGCAAAACGCTAACTTAGAATATCATGAAAAAGTTGATTTATTTCAGTAATTCCATTCATAAAGTGAAACTTGTATATTATATTCATTAATTATACACAGACTGATATATTTCAAATATTTATTTCTTTTAATGTTGATGCTTATAACTGACAACTAATGAAAGCCTCGAATTGAGTATCTCAGAAAGTTTGAATATTATTTAAGATCAATTTAAAAAAGGGGGGTTTATAGAAATGTTGGCCAATTGAAAAGTATGAGCATGTACAGCATCAGTACTTAGTACTCCAACTGATGCTGTACATGTTCATACTTTCCAGTTGACCAACATTTCTGTAGTGAACTTGACCTGATGTCAAAACTGACCAGATGGACAGAAACTGTCATTTCATTGATTTGAATCTAGAAATACAGTTTGACCGATCCTGAGACTTTCTTTCTTGAATTAATCAAGTGGAAAAGACAATTC